GAGAGAGACACAGGGCATACAGTGAGCTTCTGAAACCTCAAAGTCCATTCCACTTCCTCCAACAAGGCTACACCTCCTAATCCTTGTAATCCTTTCAAACAGTTCCACTCCCTGGTGACTAAGCATTAAAATACATGAGCCTATGGGGGCCATTCCTATTCAAACCACCACACCCCACAATAAAAATTTAAGGTACAACCGCATTTGTAGAAATCTAATGATTGAAGACATTAAAGTTTAATAACATCAACATTTATTAAAATTCTCTTATCTGGGTGTAGTGGCTCATGCCTATAATCCCAGTATATGGGAGACTGAGGCAGGAGGGTTACCATGAGTTTATAGCTATCTTGGACTACCCTGGATGACAGTGAACTTCAGACCAGCCTGAGCTATGACATTAAACTGTCTCAAACAAAACAAAAGTTTATTCTCTTCACACTAAATTGCCTTGCAGAGAAGAATAGATTATGTCTGTAAAAGCCTGTTTGTTTCAGAAAAGAAGGAGAAATCACATGGGCTGGAAATAGGGCTCAACGGGCTGTAAAGTGATTGCTGCAGGAGTATGAGGACCCAAGTTAAGATCCCCAGAAGTCATGTAAAGCTGAACTGTATGTGTCTGTAATCCCAGCACTTATGGAGAGGTGGGAGGCAGAAACAAGAGCATGCCTGAAGCCGGGCAGTGGCTCACGCCTTTAGTCCCAGCACTCAGGAGGCAGAGGCAGGCAGATCTCTGTGAGTTTGAGGCCAGCCTGGGCTACAGAATGAGTTCCAGGACAGGCTCCAAAGCTACACAGAGAAACCCTGTCTCAAAAAACAAAGAGAGAGAGAGAGAGAGAGAGAGAGAGAGAGAGAGAGAGAGAGAGAGAGAGAAAGAGAGAGAGAGAGAGAGAAGCATGAAAGCTCTTGAGTCATCTAGCCTGGAACACATAGGGGCAAATAACAACAGACTCCATTTCAAACAAGCTGGAAGGCAGGACTGATGTGAGTGCTATCCTCTGACTTCCACATGTGATGTGGTGTGCATACACTTTCCACACACATGCACATAGAGATTAGAAAGAGAAATTATGGAGTGCTTGCTGTCAGATGCTGAAGATTGAAAAGACTGGCTTACCCAAGTGTGGTGGTTTGGAAGAAAATGGCCCCCGAAGGTAGTGGCACTATTAGGAGGGATGGCCTTGTTCAAGTAGGTGTGGCCTTATTGGAGGAAAGTGTCACTGTAGGGGTGGACTTTGAGATCTCCTAGGCTCAAGCTACACCCTGTGAGACAGATCACTTTCTGTTGCTTTCAGGATCATGTTGTAGCTCCTTCTCCACTCTCAGCTCCTTCTCCAGTACCATGTCCTGCCATGATAATAATGAACTGAACCTCTGAAACTGTAAGCCACACAATGAAATGTTTCATTTATAAGAGTTGCTGTGGTCATGGTCTCTCTTCACAGCAATAGAAACTCTAAGACATCAAAAATGTATGAAACTTTTCTACAAACATGAATAAGAGCTCGCTTGAGTGTCCTGTGTCCTGTAGTCTGCTGGCTATCTTGAAAGCTAATGAACTAAGTGTGTGAACACAATTCCTGTCTGCTGGTCATATAAGCCCATTTTACCATGGTCTTTGCATATTATTCTTTCTGTTTGAAACACCTTTAACATCACCATTTTCTAGAATTCTACTAAACAGTCCTGTGCTCAGATAGCACTAGTCAGTAGACAAAATGATTCATTTGCTTTGGGTTTTATTGCTGATTGCAGAGACTCTAAATTCTCTGAACTGAGAGATTTTTTCCACTCCCTATTCTAGAACAGTTTTTTTTTCTTCTCCTCCTTCTTCTTTTTAGGACAGGGTCTCACAGTGTTCACTGGCCTGGAATACATAGACTAGGCTGGTCTTGAACTCATGAAGATTCACTAGTCTCTGCCTTCCCAGTCCTGGGAGTAAAGCCTTGTGCCACCAAATCCTGTTGTGATCATTCTTAAGACACAATAAAAACTCAAATATTTAGTAAGCACATACATTCCAGAAGTTTTGCAAATGAAGACAAAAATGTATCACTGACAGAAAAAAAAGGTGGGAAAAGAAACCTACTTGGATCAATGGAGTCACAGCTTACAACTTTCTCTCCACATCCGTTTTTCAAGACAGGGTTTCTCTGTGTAGCCCTGGCTGTCATTCTATAGACCAGGCCTCAAACTCACAGAGATCTGCTTGCCTCTGCTTCCCGAGTGCTGGGATTAAAGGCGTGCGCCAGCTGCAACTTCTAAAGGAAAAGGAAACAGTAACATGCAAGCTTTTCCTTGGTGTTTCCTCTTCACCGCACTTTCTACACATACCGACTCATCTTTATTTCTCATAGATCACAGCCTACTACAAAGCATATATTCTAAGTAACTTGCCCAGAATCACAGAAACAGTCAAGGGCAGTGGCTGATTTGAGCCCAGACAATTCAGAGTTCCTGTGTTTAAGTATTTCATATTTCAACTCCCCAAAAGCCGAGCATTAAGCCTTCCACCATTACTAAAGTTTCCGTGAGATAGATGAGGTGGCCTGCTTCCCCCTAGGGCACAGACGGGTGTTGAATGCTCTTAAGCATTTCAGAGCTCTGAAAATCACTATTAGTGTTATTGGTGTTCTCATAGTAAGAGTTCCTTTTGATGTTAATTCTTTAGTAAATAAACAAAGACAGAGGGTCTGGGCAATATGACTCCCTATTCAGCAACTGTTGGACTCTCTCTGCTGTCCCAACAAAAGAACTGTCAGTCAGTCAGCTGTATCTCTACAAACAGTACCAGCCTTCTTGACTATTCCACTGACACTCTGAGGACATTACACACTGACTGCAGCTGGCTGCCAGTCTCCTGGACTCAGCCATGATGGTTAGGAATAGTTTGGACCAGATTTTCTGTATTAGGGCATCTTAAACTTTTTCCACTCTTACATCCTTTTCACCTGAGAAAGTTTTACATAACCCCCAGTATGTAGGTATGTAAACTACACATACAAGTAAAATATACAACAAATTATAAGGAAACTTATTTAAATAAAAAGGATAAAAGGAATTTTGCATACTAATAAAATGGAGGTACTTGGGTATATATGCATTTATCTGTGTGTTGATGCATGTGTGCTGTACACAGTATCCTTGGAGACCAGAAGAGTGTTCAGATCTGCAGGTGCTGAAGCTATAGATGGTTGTACAGTGCTCCATGTGGGTGCTGGATTTGATAACTCAGATCCTGTGAAAGACCAAGTACTTTTAACTCTAAGCCATTTTTCCAGTCCCTACACCAAAAATTTTAACACAATATTATCCAAAGATATATCGATCCAGTATATGTTGCTGAATGGTGATAGAAAAACATTAAATTCTTTGTTTTCCACAGTTAAACCATTATGTTTCTGAGGAAACAAAAGTCCAGATACAGTAAAAGATACAGGCTCAGGATCACTTAGTGAGTTGCCTGAAAGACTAACCTGTGCTGTCTCCTCTGGTTTTGAAGCATCTGATCCAATAAGAGCTTTCTTTCAAGTGATCTTTTCCTGTCTTTCTCTTCTGTGACCTGAGGGCCAACATGAAAAGCAGCTAGGACAGCAGAGCGGTGGTGATGGCAGACGCAGCTGAGCGATCTGGCAGCCGAGCTGAGACAGTGGCAAGGCAGCCGGCAGCCCAACCCCTGGCAAAGCAGCAGCTAGGCAGTTCAAAAGCAGCCTGGACTGGAAGAAAGGCTGCACTGGACAAGGCCGGCCAGAGAGAACAGAGAGCAAGACCAGCAACTGCAGGCCTGGTAACTGGAAAGCATCAGAGCTGTCAAGTCTTTGGGGCCAGGACTCCGACGTGAGCCAAGAACTGTGTCACTGAATCCCAGTAACAAGATCAACCAGGAATGCTAGCCAGCCAAGAGCTGGGGAAATCCCTGCTTCCCAGGCCCATGCAAGAGTTGTTACGACTTGTAGGGATAGGTGGATTCTGTTAGTTCCAGACCAACCAGTGATATATAGTGAGACTGTCACTTGAAAAAAAAAAAAAAAAAAGGTAGGAACAGGGGACACGAGCACTAGAAGGCCACCTACTGCCGCCTCACTTTTGCCAGCTGCCAAATACCATCTTTCTCTTTTTTTTTTTTAATTAAAAAAAACTTGTATGCATTGGTGTTTGACTTGCATGTCTTTGTGAGGGATTCAGATCCACTGGACTTGGAATTACAGACAGTTGTGAACTGCCATGTGGATGCTGGGGATTGAACCGGGGCCCCCTGGAAGAGCAGCCAGTACTCTTAACCGCTGAACCATCTCTCCAGCCAAATACCATCTCTTGATGTGGGTAGACCAGGACACTGGCCAGCAGATGGGGAACACGTTTGCGTCTGTAAAAAATAAGCCTTGCCGACTTAAAACGACAAACGAGGTTTCAGTGCACCGGGACTGAAAGCGTCGCTTCACTTCTTTTCCTGTCCCCTGGTCTCAAGTGAACTATCTTCAGCCTGCTACATCCTCCCCAAAACCATAGCTTGGTTGGTCCTCACCATCACCAAGCGCTTACGAGGATTCTCCACCTGCCCGCCCACATCACCCTTCCGGCTTTCTCTGACAGAAGTTAGCATCCTCTGGAGATTGCCTCTACTGTGAAGTGCCGAGAAATCCCACAACCTAGGTCAGTCTGGAAGCTGGTAGAAGGCCAGAGTCAAGAGCTAGAAAAATCCCTGCTTCTTACCCCCAACCCCAACCCCAATCCCGCAAGCAAGAGTTGTAGGGATAGGTGGATCGCTGTTGAGTTCCAGGACAGCCAGAGACACGCAATGACATTCTGTCTTTAAAAAACAAAACAAAACAAAACCACAAAAAAAACAGGGCTGTGCTGCAGACGCTCATCTCCTCTGCAAAGCCCCTCGGGTCCAGCCACGATCTTCTGGAAGATAAACTGCACAGCCCCTCCCTGCAGCAGCCGTCCCAGATCTCTAGCTCCTCCCACACCGCGCTCGGAACCCGCGCGCCTGGATGACGTCAATTTTCCACGCCGGGAAGAAGCTACCTTGCGGAGTTTTCTCGGCGCGGATTTTCTTCTGTGTGTCCCGACACTATGAAGGAAACGCCGCTCTCCAACTGCGAGCGCCGCTTCCTTCTCCGGGCCATCGAGGAGAAGAAGGTGCGAGGCCTCGGTGGCTTTGGGCGTAGACTCGGGTTGCCCGCGGGGTGGACTCCGGTGGCCCGTGGATTCATTGTCATTTTGGTCTGTGGTGTGGTGGTGGTGTGGACTGGTTCCCAGTGTGAACTCTGCCCATTTCCCCAGCCCCAGGTCAATGTTTTATCCTGGCCAATTCCTTTGAGCCGCAAGCCACTAGCATTTGTCAGTGCCAGGGGTGTTGGGGACCAGGACCAGACAGACGAAGTTGCTACTCATAAACATGTTAAAGGAATAATTGTTTGCTTACAGCGGCTGGATGGCAGACAAACCTATGATTACAGGAACATCAGGATCTCATTCGGAACAGATTATGGATGCTGTATTGTAGAACTTGGGAAAACAAGGTAACAGGATTCAATTAGATAAAGCCACAGGAGGTATGAAAATTACTGACTCAGTTGTTCACCGAGCAGCTCAAAAATCCAATCAGTGCTTTCTTTTATCTGATGAGAAATATCTTTCTTTAATGCAAGCCTTTTTCGTTTTCTGGTCACACTTTAACTTTTAACCACGAGTGCTTTCTGCTATAAATCGTACTGCCTTGTGATCTTTACAAATCATGTACGCAGCTGACATCGATCACACAGAATTTGTTACCTGTATGTCTCTCATATTTTTATGTGAGGAGTGTAGATCTTGTCATCAATAAGTCCCAGTTTCTCTTTTATTCTTGAGTGATGTAAGAAGTAAGAGATTTCCTTTATACCATCCTTTTTAGGTATACATACGTGTGTGTGTGTGTGTGTGTGTGTGTGTTTGTGTGTGTGTTTCTGCACGGCATCTTACATTTAAACATTATTATTCTGTATGTGCACGATTGTGTGTGGAGGCAGCTTTGCTGGCCCCAGTCTACTACATTCTATATGTAATTTCTGCTTCTCAAGTCACATTGTGTTGTTATTTAGAATTGATTGTTTTATGTTTTTCATTTCATTTTTTTAATGGAAAGGGAAGTATGTTTAGTTGACTGCTTTGTACCTTTATTTTTGCAGAGTTCTTGGGCAGGTTTCCTGTGAACTTGTTTCTCCAAAACTCAATAGGGCAACAGAAGGTATTCTGTTTTTTAACCTTGAACTTTCTCAGATGGCTGCTCCAGCTTTTGAACCTGGCAGGTATTTTGCTCTTTCTTAAGCTCCTTTAGCCATAGAAGAATTTAACAACAGTAAACTGTGGTTTTAATGCCCAGAGTTGTAGTTCATGACATTAGTTCATTCTTGTTTCCATAGGCAGTCAGATCTCTTGGTGAAGCTAAATCGACTCTTGGAAAGGTGTCTAAGAAATTCAAAGTGTATAGACACTGAATCTCTCTGTGTTGTTGCTGGTGAAAAGGTGGGAATTATGCTCCAGATTCATAACAATGGATACTGTTGTTCAGACAAAAAACATTAGGGAGACTGGAAAGATGGTTCAGTGGTTAAGAGCACTGGTTGCTCTTTCAGGATCTGGCTTCAGTTCCCAGCACTTACATGTCAGTTCACAACTACCTGCAACTCTAGTTCCAGAGGATCTAACACTTAGGGTCTTTGGGGACACCAGGCATTAGTGTGGCACATATATACATGCAAGCAAATGTGCACACATGTAAAATAAAAATGAACATTAAAAAAAAGCATAATTAGGTTTTAAATGTTGGAATGGTTCCATTTATTTACATATTGTCATGTTCTCAAATGATTCACATAGAAAAGTTTACTATTAGAATTTCAAGTGTTTTTCTTAAAATTAACTGCATTTCTACTGGATAAACTGGAAGGATTAACTGCATGCTTTAATTTTAAAAAAAAAAATGTGTGCAGTGTTACTTTTCCAGTGGCCACTGGTCGTGTTAGGATTTATTTTTATCTTAAATTCACTTTCAGGTTTGGCAGATACGTGTAGACCTCCACTTATTAAATCATGATGGAAATATTATTGATGCTGCCAGCATAGCTGCAATCGTAGCCTTGTGTCACTTCCGAAGACCCGATGTCTCTGTCCAAGGAGAGGAAGTAACGCTGGTAAGCTTCCAGGGTTCGGAATGGAACTGGTCCTATGAACGAATGGGTGCCCTAGATGTGCAGACAGGTAGTTATTAGTGGAGGCATGTGGCAGATGGTATTCAGCTTTATTCTAGTATTTGTTCATAAGACAAAAACTGCAGGTGTTCAAAATTGCCCTAGAAATTTCCAGTTCCCTTACAGAAGTGTCTGTCAGTAATACCATAACCCAGCTTGGTTTTCTGAAATAGAACTCTGTGACCCTTTCTTTGGATTGAATATTAGAGGAAATGGGTTGGTTTCTGTGTAGGGTCAGCGTGAAATGCTTACTCTTGAGAGGCTGGCAGTACCTGAAAAGAACTGAGATCATCAGATTTATATGTTTTCTTCAGGCCTTTTGTTCCCTAAGCCAAGTAGATGATACAAGTTCATCGAAAATGCCTGGAGCGCGCTTGTTAACAATGTACTGCTAGGCCCTGCTTATACAGGAGGGTAGAGTAGGACCTAAGAACTTAGACCTCTAACTCAGTGCTCAGACAATCCCAGTGCTGGTCCAGGGATCATTGTGAGAACCAGTGGTCTGTGCTGTCCTCCTCTTTTTGCCAGGTAGGTCAATTTTGATTCATATATATCACATGCTAGAATAATGGCAGTGTACTGTTTGAGCCCTGAGTTGCAAAGGGAACCATCCAGTGCCCAAGTTTTCATAATGCTATTTTGAGGCACTTTGCCAGAGCAGAATCTGAAAACTTGGAGGCCAGAACAGTGCTCCTACAGAGGAAGGAGTGTATAAGGAAATTTAAAAAAAGAGAATGTGATTAGTTTTGCATGGAGGTAAAGCCCTTATTCTGAGAAGTGCCAGGGCTCCTGTTAGCGGAGGACATATACCTTACTAAAAAAAGGCATCTGGGATAGAAGATTAGACATAGAGGGATGTTTTATCATCATAAAATAGGAACATAGTTGTCAAAGACATTACTTAGCTACTGACAATGAACAACTTCTTAGTGTTTGATTGCAAAGTGAGTTTTGTATTTCTCATTTGCTGACTGTAAGAATTTGGCCTTGTCTTCTGACAGTATACTCCAGAAGAGCGCGACCCTGTGCCCTTGAGCATCCACCACATGCCCATCTGTGTCAGTTTTGCTTTCTTCCAGCAAGGGTAAGTGTCGCCTTGTCATGGGCTGAAGATGTAAGTATATCTAGGAATTGGATCCTGTTTATCTAAACAGGGTCTCATATCTCACGCTGGTTTTGAGCTCTCTGTACAGCTGAGTTGACGTTGAACTTCTGATCCTCCAGCCTCCACTTCCCATGTGCTGGGATTCCAGGCATCTACTGCCGTGCCTGGCCTATGTGGTGCTGGGGACTGAATTCCAGGCGTTGTGCATGCTGTGTAACACTACCAGCTGAGCTGCCAAGCTGCGGCCCCAAGCTAGGACCTCTGTTGCTCTGTTCTGATATGACCACAGACACACTGACCTTAATAGTAGAGCATCTAGGGCTGGAGAGATGGCTCAGAGGTTAAGAGCACTGGCTGTTCTTCCAGAGGTCCTGAGTTCAATTCCCAGCACCCACATGGTGGCTCACAACCATCTATAATGAGATCTGGTGCCCTCTTCTGGCCTGCAGGCATACATGCAGGCAGAATACTGTATTATGATAAATAAATAAATCTTAAAAAAAAAAATACACTTCCCATCACTTTTCTGCTCATAGCATACTTACAGAATAAGAATTCAATGCGATCCTTAACTTGGGCTAGACAAATGCCTTGGGAATGACATGTGAGATGTGAGCTCTCATTTGAGAAAGGGGAAGAGTTCCTGTGGACCAATGAAACGCAGGTACTGTGAAGCAGAGTAGAGGGGGTAGTTCTAGAAACACATTGCGAGGGAAAGTGATTTGCAAATAGAAAACTTGTTTCCTTCAGCTGTCTGGCCTTTTCTTCACAACTCCTTGTTAATCTTAGTATAAAATGGGGGGTCATATATCCACATAATGTGCATAAGTAAAGCTTGAGTCCTAGATTTTCAGGAAACTTCTTTCGTGCATAAGAACTAGATAAAGATTTCAACTTTTAGTCATTGTAGCTAATTCTATATTAGGAAAGTGGACCAGCATTATCTAGTAAAATAAAAGGTATATGCCATAAAAGTAACTTAAAATTTTCCAATAGTCACATTGAAAGGTGAGAGAAACATATCAAGTATGGAAACCAGAAATTGGGGAAGACTTCAGTGGCTTTCAGGCCAGTCTGGGCTCCATAGCAAACTCTAGGCAAAACTCAGAAACATAATGGGGTCCTTTCTGAAAACAAAATAAAAACAAGTTAAAGAATTTTTATATTTCATCCAGGTGGTAGTGGTGCACACCCCAGTACTGGGGAGGCAGAGGCAGGCAGATTTCTGAGTTCAAGGCCAGCCTGGGCTACAGAGTGAGTTCCAGGAAAGGCACAGAACTTCCGAGAAACCCTGTCTTGAAAAACCAAAAAAAATTTTTTACATTTCTTTTAACCTTATAGATGTAATTTTTTTTTCAAGACAGGGTTTCTCTGTGTAGTTTTGGTGCCTGTCCTGGAGCTTGCTCTGTAGACCAGGCTGGCCTCGAACTCACAGAGATCTGCCTGGCTCTGCCTCCCGAGTGCTGGGATTAAAGGCGTGTGCCACCACCACCCGGCGTAAAATATTTTCATTCTACTATATACCAGTATTTTAAAAATTATTCAAGATTTTGCATTCATCTATTTGCACTGAGTATTTTATATCCGCAGTTGGAGTAGCCCAGTGCCCGTGTGTCTGCCAGCACTGCAGAAACAGGCAGCCCCTTTCTGTGCCATCTACAGGCTCTAGAACTTAGAGTTCAGGGCCTCAGTGCCACTTGAAAATGAACCAAATTAATGTTATCTAAGTCTTTATTAATGAGCCAGAAGTCATTTTATCAAAGAGATGGTATAAGTATTGGGTCATATGTTATTTAAATTTCAGTCTGACTTAGTGTGGTTTCATTTTAATGGCCAGAGAAACATACATTCCATGTAACTGAAATTGCTGAGTTAAAGTGACTCAGCTCCTTCAGAGTTGACTTTGGACGATAACTTTAAAAAACCCATTCTAGAAACAGCACTCAGCTTCAGATATGTTTCAGGACCATTTAACATTTGTTTCAGAACATATTTATTGGTGGACCCCAATGAGCGAGAAGAACGAGTAATGGATGGCTTGCTGGTGATCGCCATGAATAAGCATCGAGAAATTTGTACTATTCAGTCTAGTGGTGGGATAATGCTGCTCAAAGACCAGGTTGGTACCTTGACTAGTTTCCTGTAAGAGGTCTCTTTTCAGAAGTTTTATTGTTACTTCATTTGTCTTAAAATTATCTTTTTTTTTTTTTTCTGTTTTTTGAGACAGGGTTTCTCTGTGTAATATCTCTGACTGTCCTGGATAATCACTCTGTAGACCAGGCTGGCCTCAAACTCACAGAAATCTGCCTGCCTCTGCCTCCTGAGTGCTGGGATTAAAGGCATGCATCCTTAATTGAACCTCATAGCTTAGTTATCTTTTAACCAAAAGCTGCAGGGTACTTTTGATAAGTAAGTCTAATTATGTTAGAATCTGGTTTTAGTCCAGACATTACATTCTAACAGGTGGCCGTGAGTTATCCTTCCTATCCTTGCCCTCCCCAGATTTGTCCTTCCTTCTAGGATCTGACTGGAGGAACACCTTAGTTCTTTCAGTGAAGAAAGACTCATATTTGTAGCTAGAGTTTTCCTGCCTGGCCCACAGTCAGGACAAATCTCTCTCACCTGCCAGTCCCACAGCAGCTCAGACCCAACCAAGTAAACACAGAGACTTATATTGCTTACGAACTGTATGGCCATGGCAGGCTTCTTGCTAACTGTTCTTACAGCTTAAATTAATCCATTTCCATTAATCTATACCTTGCCACATGGCTTGTGGCTTACCGGCATCTTCACATGCTGTTTGTCATCGTGGCAGCTGCAAGTGTCTCTCTGACTTAGTCTTTCACTTCCCAGCTTTATTCTCCTCCTTGTCCTGCCTGTACTTCCTGTCTGGCCACGGGCCAATCAGTGATTTATTTACCAACCAATCAGAGCAACACATTTGCCATACAGAACACCCCACAGCACTCCCCCCCCCCTTTTTTTTAAAAGGAAGGTTTTAACCTTAACAAAATAAAATTACATATAATTTGGGAATTTGGGCGTAGCTTCTCTTACTACTTCCTGCTGGAGGGGGGCGCTGTATCTTATGGGGACACAAAGAAAATTTTAGGATTATGGAATAGTCCATGAGGCTGTATTGTCTGAGCCAGTTGTCTTCAAACCATTCTGGATGTTGGATCATCTGGACCATGGTGTCATCGGAGACCTTTCAGGGGGTCTTGGCTGGTCAAACCTGATGTATCTTAATCTGGAACAAATCTATAGCTTTTGGCTTTCTGTGGGAAGAAAAGCAGAGTCTCCTTTCCAAAGCAACATATCTTTATATCTAAATTTTGAAGTCAAGGTATCTTTAAAATATACATTTTGGCATAACAAAACAGCTTTTACAATCAAATGTTTTTTTGTAGTTAAAAATCCCAAAGACAACACAATCCAGATTCTCTGTGTAATATCTATCTTTATGTGGCTTATTTTTTATATTAGTTTTACTATCTCTTTAAAGACTTTATTTTTTAAAACTATGTATTTGTTTATATAACTGTATATATCACCATTTTGTCTCTTTTAAGCCTACGTATATTTTACACACATTGTAAACTATTATATCTGAATCTGTTTTATTGTGAATCTATTGTTTTAAACTGCAGCAGCTGTGGCTGCTGGCTCCGCCCACCTCAGCTTCCCAATATGGCGGTGGTTTACCGCCAGCTCTGGGAACTATCGTGGGTCTATGTTTTTATCCAAGCAGCATGTAGCCCAGAAACCTTTTTTTTTTTTTTTTTTTTTTTTTTTTGGTTTTTCGAGACAGGGTTTCTCTGTGTAGCTTTGCGCCTTTCCTGGAACTCACTTGGTAGCCCAGGCTGGCCTCGAACTCACAGAGATCCGCCTGGCTCTGCCTCCCGAGTGCTGGGATTAAAGGCGTGCGCCACCACCGCCCGGCCCCTCTTTTTTTTTTTGTTTTGTACTAGTAAAGTCTAAATACACCACATAGCTTAATGTGCCACTTGCAGAGGCCTCATTCCCACCATACTTCAGGTCCAGTGTGCACACTAGGAACCCGCCAGTAGCTCAAACTGGCAGCTGCCGCTCATTTGAGAGAGACAATTAGGAAGCTGTTTTTAGCTCCGTTTTAGAATCTTTTTTCAGTTTTTAGGTGGAAACTCTTGCCACCACGTTGGACACCATTTGTAGCTAGAGTTTTCCTGCCTGGCCCACAGTCAGGACAAATCTCTCTCACCTGCCAGTCCCACAGCCGCTCAGACCACATATTACTACTTTTTAAAGTATTAAATGCAGACATTAAGAGAAAACTAAGTTTTGGAATTTGGATACAGCCAGCGGTGATACTCAAACCCAGCCACATATCAGATTCACGAGGTTGTTAGAAAACAGGGTGCCATGTAGCATTATAAGCATTATGTCCAAGGGAGCTGTTTCAGTTCAGATTTTAGCTGATCTTTATAGCCTTTGGGCAAATGACTCATCTCTGGATGTCTGTACATTAGGGGATGATTCTATTGTTAGTGCTGTAGAAAGGATGGAAGGATGAATGTATAGGCAGATTATAGGTGTCTGGGGTACAGAGTGCTCAGGGAATGTTACGTTCCATTATTGCCATCAGCACCACTGTTGATTCTGTTTCTGTGGATTACTGACACAGAAAGGAAGTCTGTATTCCTGAGCATTTTATCTGTGGTCTCTGTGGTGTCTTAACTGTTGCGCAAGAAGGTGCTCAATGCTGGGACGGTGGTGGCACATGCCTTTAATCCCAGCACTCGGGAGGCAGAGCCAGGTGGATCTCTGTGAGTTCGAGGCCATCCTGGGCTACAAAGCGAGATCCAGGACAGGCACCAAAACTACACAGAGAAACCCTGTCTCGAAAAAACAAACAAAAAAAAGTGCTCAAGTCTGTTCCCTTAATGTGCTAGACCTTCAAAATTTAAGTGATTTTCAGATTTTTTTTTTTTTTTTTTTTTTTTTTTTTTTGTGGAGCTGAGGATCGAACCCATGGCCTTGCACATGCTAGGCAAGCACTGTATTTACTGTGCCTTAATCTCGTATTTGGAAAAGAAATGCTTAAAGTGTAAAGGTAGAAAATTCATGTCATGGTTTTGGTTTCATTAGAAAAGCCATTTAGTTCGTTGTCTTTAACTAACAGCTCAAATTTACAAACAGGTTTTGAGATGCAGTAAAATAGCTGGTGTGAAAGTAGCAGAAATTACAGAGCTAATACAGAAAGCTTTGGACAATGACCAGAGAGTTAGGTAAGTGTAACTTCTCAGAACTGTGTATTCTCCTTAAATGCATGTTTCCTAAGGGCTTTTATCACACAAGGGCAGCCGTATAATTTCATAGTTGGTCTTTACTTAATCTCAGTTGTATATACTAGTATTTAGTTGAGATTTTATTCTAAAAAGTCACAGAAGTGTTTTCTTAGAAGTGAACATGTTCTTATGAAAAAAGAATCTAATAACTCAAATTAATAGAACAGGCTGGTTCATAGCTCTACTTCCTGTTACCTTAAGCAACAAATAGCCAGCACTTCAGTGTACTTTCTTGTCCTGTGGAGGCTTAGAGAATATACTTCAAGTACCTAGTACATATGCAGCAGAGCTTCAGTAATTATGGTGACATCTGTCTTGATAACTATGGTAGTATTCAAGTTTGATTCCCATTGCTGTGATAAAACACTGACCAAAAGCAACTTAGGGGAGGAAAGGATTTATTTGCTTACAGTTCCAGATCACAGTTGCCAATGAGGAACCTGGAGGCAGGCCTCCTTGCTAGTTCATGTAGCATCATCTCTACTGGGGAACTCCCTCAGAGCTGATCAAGTACAGCCGAGACCAGAATGCCAATTGCTGGCTCACAGGCTCAGGCTCAGCTACCTTTCTTATACAGCACAGGACTAGCTGCCCAGGGAATGGTACCCCTCATAGAGAGCTGAGCCCTCTTTCATCAATTTGTGGTCTGATTAGGGCCTCCCTTCTCTTGACTCTAGGCTGTGTCAAGTTTACAGTTAAAGCTAACAAGGACAAGTGGTGAAGTTAAGAAAGTTTATTTCTTATCTACCAAAGCCAAAATAGTAATCTTTTTCTCTTTTCCTACTGTCATCTCCAAAAACCCAAACCCAAACCCACATACAGGAAAGAAGGTGGAAAGTTTGGCTTTGCAGAGTCGATAGCAAACCAAAGGATCACAGCATTTAAAATGGAGAAGGCCTCTGTTGACACCTCCAACATAGAGGAGAAAGCAGAAGAAATTATTGCTGAAGCCGAACCTCCTCCAGAAGTGTATCTAATATTGGGGTGGTTTTTAGAGTAACAAGATGCATACATTTTTTTTGTTTGTTGTATTAAGGCTATAATGTGCATATTGAAATTTTCTTTGGGGGAATTCAAACTGTAAGAGAAAAATATGCCATATTAAGTGACGTCTAGCTTCTCTCAGCTATCTCTAAAAAACACATTTTTTCTATTTTAAGAACCACGTTAGAGCTGGGGGATGTAGCTCATTGGTACTGCACTTTTCTAGCTATGAATAAGGCTCTGGGTTCCACTCCAGTACTGTAGGAAAATACAAACAAAATTCCAGCATTCATTTCCCTTTGAGAAACTACTTCAATCCTGATAACATGGCCAAGTTCTTTACATGGTATTACATAATCTTGAAGTCATTCATTACCAAATTACTATCAGGTTGATTATTAGTGATGTCCAATTATAATGTTATTCAGCCATCCGTACTATAGTTTTTATTCCTAAGAATTTGTGGGACACATGCAGCCGTCTTGTAAGAAAATAGCTCATTAGATAGCAATTTGGGATATTCAGTTTTCTTAACTTGTTCAGTGTTTCTGAACCTGTGCTGTGGACTCCTGGAACTGCCCAGATTGGAGATGGAATAGGAAACTCCTGGGGTGACCTAGAGGATTCTGAGAAGGAAGAGGAGGAGGAAGGGGGCATTGATGAATCTGTCATTCTTGATGATACAAAGATGGACACTGGAGGAGTTCCTGATACTGGAAGCCAAGGTAGGTGATGCTTTTGGCTTTTAATGTATATTATAGAGACAGCTATAGATATAAACTATATAAACTGTACATAAGCTATAGATATTAAACATATATAAACTTGTACATATGTAAAGAGGTATCTTTATAGAGATTGTAGATCATACATAGGGATATTTCCTGTTTTGGAAGGCTAAATATTTTGAGATTTAGTGGTATGTGTTGGCATGTACATGATAGCGAATTTTTTTTTTCTGGAGCTGAGGACCGAACCCAGAGCCTTAAGCGCTCTACCACTGAGCTAAATCCCCAACCCCTCGAAAGCAATACTTTTAAACAATTAAACATCTGGCCAGGTGTGGTGGCATACACCTTTAATCTTAGCACTGGGGAGACACAGGCAGGAAGATCTCTTTCTATGTAGGGAGTTTGAGGACAGCAAGAACTAAATAGAGATCCTGTCTCAAACAAACAAAAATCTGTTCATGGGCATTTGAAGGTTTTTCCTAAAGGTTTCATCTCTGTGAGTGGCATTGTTTAACTCAAACAAAAAAAAGCTCATTATGTGGGTCAGAGAGGTAGGTGGCTCAGCTATGAAGATACTTAATGCTCAATAAGACTGACAAGAGTTTGGATCCCAGTGTCCACATCTCTGTATTCCAGCTCCAAGGGAACCAACACTGTCTTCTGGTCTGTGAAGACCAGCACACATGTGTACTTACACTATGACACAGTAGAATTTTCAGTAGAAATGTTCTTGGGGTTGGGGATTTAGCTCAGTGGTAGAGCACTTGCTTGCCTAGCAAGCGCAATACCCTGGGTTTGGTCCTCAGCTCCAGAAAAAAAAAGAAAGAAAAAAGGACAAAATAAGAAATGTTCTTTATGTGCATTGTCCAGGATAGCAGCCACTGTTGTTTACCTATTGAACATTTGAAATGTGGCTTGTCTGAGAAACTGAATTTTAAATGTGAGTTAATTGACCACAATAGTGGCAGTGACTGTCATTAGAATAGAAGCCCCTAGAAAGGTTTTACTGTGTTCTAAAAGCCATATAAAGAAACATTATCATTCTTCCATTTAGTGTATGTGTGCATATATGTGCCTAGGTATGCATATGTTGGAGTTCCAGGAGGTATGTGGGTGCTGGGAACTGAACTCAGACAATTTACTAGAGCAGATGCACTCTGTAGTCGACAGCAAGGGGCTGGCTGGTGAGTCTACTGATGCACATTCTCCCTATCTTCATAGAAGAGAATTGTTGGTTTAATTAGGTAAATGGGAGAGTTTTAAAATAATTGGGTCTATTAAATGCTGAATAGAATCCCTTACCATTCATTGTATCCAGTTGGTTTAACCACCTCACTGTTACATATGTATATCTGTCTAAGGTTTAGTATGGTTTACAGATAGCTAAGATAACTAGGATGATAGAGAAGGTAGAGCTTTCCTAAAGCATGTGAACAAAGAATGCTGAGACAAGAATACACAGCCAGCCAAATGGGCAAGGGATTGATTTGCATGCTTTATTTACAGATATATATATATAATTAATATTAAAGAGAAAAATGGGCAAACAAAACAGTTTTCTACATTTTTCATGGTCAGCCCTGGTAGTAATAAACCAGACCATCTTGGCCTACATAAGTCCTCTTTAAAAAAAAAAAGCCTACAGAAAATAGTATTTTTACAAATTTTTTTTTTTGAGAACTGCAAGGAGCTACTTGAAATAGGGTAAGATTTGGAAAGAGCATGTATATATGCCTCCAGGCAGCAGAGCTTGAGCTGTCTGTGTATGGAAATGGGAGCGAGCATTTAGGACCTACGTCTGATGTGGATAAGTAGTTACTTCTACTTTTTTGGTGTTTTCTTAAAGGTGCCCCTATAGTGTTGTCAGATAGTGAAGAAGAAGAAATGATCATTTTGGAACCAGATAAGAATCCAAAGAAAATCAGGTAACAGATTTCTGTTTCTTTCAAATATACATAAAAAACAGAACCTAGTTCTGTAAAACAAGATGCCTTTAGAGTTCCAGTGATCCGGTTGGTCCAGGATTCAGCGGGCATACAGTGAGCTGTCATTACTTTATTCACAGAGCTCAGACCACCAGTGCAAGAGAAAAGGCACCAAGTAAAAGTCAAGGGAAAAGGAGGAGGAAGAAGAGAACTGCTAATTAAAGCTAAAATGGTATTTTTATATGTATATACTGCTAAAAGGATATTTATTCAGTGCTGTAACAGCCCTGGGTATTTTTATTTGAAAATCCATTATAAGAGCTGAACTTTGATAAATTGTTTTGTCTTTACCATTATGCTTTGAATAAACTTTCTGCACAACTTTTCTGTTGCACAAAATCTTCTAACCCATGTTATCTGTAAAAGTTGATAAATAAAATATTTTAGTAAACTACTGTAACTTATGCAGAGCTGAATGAGTCTGGGGATCTCTACTACACAGAAGAGTCTAGTTTTCCTATTTTATGACCAAGGCAGCAAATGTCAGAATTGGAAGGTCCGTTTCCCTGAAATGTTTCAGTTTTAGAAAGCTTTTCCACCCTTACTAAATAATAACAAACCAAGTTAGCTTTTCCAAGTGACATTATCAGTCTTTTTTTCTTTATCTCAAATTAACTTTGACTTGCAAAGATTTCCAAATCAATTTATTCTTATCCTGACAGTTGGCAGCACCAATGTTAACAAAACCAATTAAAATTAGCCAAATATCTAAGATAGACAATGTACAAAAGATATACAAATTAAAACCATTTAAAAAGCAATGGATACCATAATTTGTCTGTGGCTATACCATCTACATTCTCAAATGATTGTAAAATTAAAACTCAAGATAAAAACTGTACAGTGTGAACTCCGAGTGACTCCCATTTTAAACAAAGGTAGTCTTTCATTCTTACACATTTAGTGTCTCTGGTGGGTTGAGAAGAGAAACACCATGATATCTGTTGAGTAGAAGAAAAAAAAAACTTTTAGTAAACATTCATTGGGGAGATCACAGAACAATTTATGTACTCCCAGACTAGAGAAATGCTATTTCTATTTGATTAGACTGATGAGTTGAGAATCATTTGATATTCAGAACATGTGTACCCATCCCCTTACTCATCCCCTACCAGACGCAAAGGGGAAAATACCATGTACAGCATCTTCCTAATATATGACTTACTATCTTACTGAGGTAGCTGTGGCAGACTACTGTACCCTTCCTTCAGGGAATAAAGAATCTGATTCTTACTTTGAATGTTTGTACTTTTCCCTTATTGACTGTTGGGCATGCTGTGGTGCTCTGAGGTAGGTCTGGTGAAGGTCCATGAGACAAGGCTTAAGACTTTCCAGGGTATATCCAGTCTTTTGTACCAATGACTCAGGCTATAGAAAAAAAGACAACCATTGAGTTTTTAGTAACAGCACAGGGCACTGACCAATACACTCATAGTTGATCGTAATGTTGGCACTAATCTTTTAATATGTTTAAGCTCACTCCATCTTTTTATTTTGACTGTAGGACTACTACCACTGCTAGCAGCAGGCAATTATCCAAGATTCTTGAAGCAGAGCTTTCAAATGCAAGCTTCCAGCTAAGCTTTCTGCCCAACCCAAAGCAACATTAATATGTGGTGGTATTGTGTTCCCCAAAATATTGTGCACCCTAATAAACTAATCTGGGATCAGAGACAGAACAGCCACTAGATACCAAGGCTAGAAAATAGTGGCACTCACACCTTTAATCCTAGTATTCCAGAGGTAGAAATCCCTCTGGATCTCTGTGAGTTCAAGGCCACATTGGAAACAGGCAGGCATGGTGACACACGCCTTTAATCCCAAGAAGTGAACCTTTAATCCCAGGGAGTGATGGCAAAAACAAAAAGATATATAAGGCGTGAAGACCAGAAACTAGAAGCATTTGGCTGGTTAAGCTTTCTGGCTTTCAAGCAGCAGTTCAGCTGAGATTCATTCTGGATGAGGACTCAGAGGCTTCCAGTCTGAGGAAACAGGATCAGCTGAGGAACTGGCGAGGCAAGGTGAGGTGGCTGTGGCCTATTCTGTCTCTCTGATCTTCCAGCGTTCACCCCAATACCTGGCTCAAGTTTGATTTTATTAATAAGAACTTTTACCAGGGGTGGTGGTGGTGGTGCACGCATTTAATCCCAGCACTCGGGAGGCAGAGCCAGGCGGATCTCTGTGAGTTCAAGGCCGACCTGGGCTACAGAGTGAGTTCCAGGAAAGTGCAAAGCTACACAGAGAAACCCTGTCTCGAAAAACCAAAAAAAAACCAAAAACTTTTAAGATTCATGCTACATTAATACTTGTGAAGGCAACTGTTATACGTACCCAGCTTTGTCCTGTGACTGTATAGAGTGCTAAGTGAAAGGCAGCTCCAGCAATAAGTGATGGCAAATACTTTAGGTATGGGTCAGCATCTATCAAACTCAATTCTCCCAAAAACTGGAATAAAAAAAAGAATTAACTATAATCACTATAGCTGTAAGATTCAAACTTTGAATCCTTGCATCCTGACCCATTTTTCCTGTCTTTGATGCTCACTAGTCCTGTGTCCGTCCTGGGGAAATTATTCCAATGTTTTGCTCCATCCTCAGCTTACATTTCTGCCCCTTAACTTAAAACATCTACCAGGATGTTCTCTTTAAACCACCGGTGTTTTTCTGACAAGGTCACTTCTGGGTATCCATTGGGAAATTCTCTCCTGGACCTCTGAGCCCCTTCCCATAGACACCAATAGTTAAGTACCTTACACATAAAAAAGACTCACCATTTTCACACAAACTAGTGTTATATACCCAGAATATCGCTAAATTACTTATAATACCTAATAAATAATCAGTACGTATATAGGTACACTGTGTGTAGAGCTATACTTATCCAGTACATAGGCAGTTACCTTTAATGCCTGTTGGCTGATTTCATAAGCACCAAACCCACAGATAGAGGACAACTGTGTATTAATCTTTTGCTAGCTATAGGTTTTTCTGTGTACTGGAACACTAACTGTCTGAAAACAATCTCTTAAGCAATGCTATACAATAAAACCAGGGCTAATTACAACCTAAAAAAAAAGCCCATAAAATGAACTCACCATTGCTAAGCTTTCAACTTTGCAGTTTGCAGGCTGCTGGTGCAGGAAGTATTGGGTAAGAAACTGATTTATTGTTGGTGCAGCTAAGTCAAAAGCAAGGACTTTCAATACTAGGTGCTCCATTCTCAGAACCTGCTTCTTGGAATAGGTATCGTCTGTTATATACACAAACTCTGCTACTTCTGGGGGGTATATTTCTTCGAACTTTCTACAAAAGAAATTTTAAGTTGAGTTTTCTCAAAAGCAGGCTTTGTCTTAATCTAAATGTTTGGGCTGTATAGACTCAAGACTCACTTCCATCAACCACATCCCCACTAACAGTTGACCACCATCTCTAGTTGCGATGATCAACAGCCAATCAGTGAGGGGCTTCTGGTATGCCTCCTATGTAGTCAGAGGAAATGATGATTTGTAAGCTTTCCAAGATGGGGAACAAGGACAGAGTAGCTAAAAACTTAGATAATCTAAAGTTTTGGGAAAATAACGTTTTACTTTACTTTTTTTTTTCCCACCAACAAAATAGGGTTTCTCTGTAGTTTTGGTGCCTGTCCTGGATGTCGCTCTGTAGACCAGGCTGGCCTCGAACTCAGAGATCCGCCTGACTCTGCCTCCCAAGTGCTAGGAATAAAGGTGTACGCCACCACCACCTGGCAATGTTTTACTTTTAAATGTCATTTCTATATCCTGATGGAGGGAAGATATACTTATACTCCAGTAACTACTTTATTGTGAAACAGTTTTTTTTTCCTTTAAACTTTTAAACTCTGTGATCTAGTCTAAAATGTGGATGGTCTATGCCCATGCAAGGCACATGAAATCCAAATCTAGAAAGTTTTATGTTCTAGACTAGAAAACAAATTTCATCCTCTACTCCCAGAGGTGCCCCCTACCCCAGTTGTCCCTAAAACTGCCAGTGTTAAGATGTTAAGAGTTGGAAATCTTAATTTATTCCCTTCATTATAAAATAGTAAGTGGGGGTTGGAGAGATGCCTCAATGGTTAGAGCACTGGCTGAGACCCAGGTTCAATTCCCAGCACCAGCATGATGACTCATAAAATTGTCTATAACACCAGTCTTGAGATCCAGTGCCCTCTTCTGGCCTCAGCAGGCATTGTACACATTTGCTACACAGATATCCACGCAGGCAAAACACCCAAAAAGTATAAATGGGGGTGGTGGTATTGGATGATGACTTTGAATTAAACAAGCTGTACTTACGAAGCTAGCAGCATAGCAGCAGTGCCCACAAGCTGAAGCTTCCCTCTTAGCACAGACATGGAAGAGAGGAACCGATCAATGTAGTTCACAGCCAAATGCAAGGTCTCATTCTGTAATTTATATTCTTCTCCCACTTCAACCAGCCAGTCCACAAGGATGGCCCGCATACTGTTAGTGATGTCTGGCTGCTTCTTCATATAACCCACTTTAGGTTTACACTTAACCTGAAGAAAAACTCAGTATTGTTAAAACTATAATTAGGTTACTTTACCATTCACAAAGATGCTATTAATATACACTATAAACACAAGTTTAACATTAGAGTAACTCACTAGTAATTAGATGTCAACATTATCCTTTCAATTTTATTTAGTCATTTTTAATGAAGAGCCTTACCTCCATTTCCCTAAGGTATTTGTGAATATCTTCATGATAGTCAGGTACTTCATTAACACTCACCGGCTTTTCGTCTTCTAAGACAATAGACATGTCCATAGCATGTGGTGATTCTGTGTATGATATTAAAACCAAAGTATTTATCTCTCCCAACTGAACAGACCCTCTGGCAAAGCAACAGAGTCCTATTCTGGTCTTAGTATTTCTGTCCACATAGATTTAGGATGAACTTAATTCCCAAAAAAGAAACACAGTACATCAATGAACTACTAAGAGGACTGAGAATTACCTTAAAGTGTCATCTTCCACAAGAGAAGAAGAGATGGTACAGTGCTTCTGTTACGACAGAATGCTTAACAAAGTTTTGAAATAAGGATTTTTTTGTCTTAAGGGACTTAGTGTTTGTGAAAACAGGGTCTCATCTCTGTAGCCCAGGCTGGCAATCCTGCCTCAGTGTCCTGAGTGCTAGTTACAGGCATGAACACACTCAGTTCTAGTTTTTACCATTTAAATTACCTTTTGGGAGCCAGGCAGTGGTGGCACATGCCTTTAATCCCAGCACTCGGGAGGCAGAGCCAGGCGGATTTCTGTGAGTTCGAGGCCAGCCTGGGCTACCAAGTGAGTTCCAGGAAAAAGGCACAAAGCTACACAGAGAAACCCTGTCTCGAAGAAGAAGAAGAAAAAAAAAAGCCGGGCGGTGGTGGTGGTGGACGCACTCGGGAGGCAGAGGCAGGCGGATCTCTGTGAGTTCGAGGCCAGCCTGGTCTACAAAGTGAGATCCAGGACAGGCTCCAAAGCTACAGAGAAACCCTGTCTCAAAATAACAACAACAACAACAAAAAATTACCTTTTGGGGTAAAGAATTTCCATTTTTTCTTTCCAGAGCACCTTGAGTTAAGAAAAAGCTATAAAATTTCTAGATGTGCACATCTGTAACCCTAAGATGGGGGTGGGGTGGGGGTGGTTGAGAATAGTCAGATCCCTGGAGCTTGATGGCCAACCAGTCTAGCCAAGTCAGTGCCTCCAATGAGACTTTCTAACAAAAAAATGAGATGGAAATGTAGCTAAAGATATCCCAAAGTCAGGTACACCTCTGGTCTCCACATGTACCAGCATGGGCAGGCATACCCCATCCCCTGACACACACATAGCATAAGGCAGAGAGTGATAGAAACCAACATCCTGATAGATACACCTCTGGTCTCCACACAGTGAGATCACAGCAACAGCAGAACTGTCTGCAGCAGCTACTCTGCCTTCCTTGTGCATTAGTGTCTGACCTGCATCAGATGAGCATTCAAATGGATTTTAAAGGCATGGTAGATACCACAATGCTTAAAACTGTAGCTTCAAGTAGCACTATCAGGAGTGGCATGTTAAGAAGTGAGTCATAAATACAACTGAAATCTATTCTCCCAGCCAAACATGTATGAAGTCAGATTAAAATAAGCATTTAAGATCTAATTAAAATTGATAGTTTGCAGGGCCCGCCTGCCTGTTAAGGATGAGTCCTTTTGTAGGTCACTAGGTCTAAGTACTAGCCATGCGATCTGAGATAATCTTTTAAGCCCATTGCAGTAATCCTAAACTACTGTTATGATCAGGTAAGACAGTCGTAGCTGGGCATGGTGGCACACATCTTTAATCCTGGCACTTGGGATCTCTGAGTTTGAGGCTAGCCTGGTCTACAAAGCGAGTTCCAGGACAGCTCTGGCTACACAGAGAAACTCTGTCTAGAAAAAACAAAACAAAATGACAGTCTTAAAGCTGAAAGTAACTAACCCAATCAACTAAGTTCTTAGTTTGATAAAGATCTTTTAAAAAGTACCAAGCAGGGTATGGTATCACAGGCCTGTAATCTAGAATTTGTGAGGCTGAGGCAGGGTGGTTTGAGTTCAAGACTAGTCAGAGCTACAGATTGAGATCCTGTCTCAAAAATAAAAAGCAAAAACCTTACCAAAACTGCCATCCATTGGATAATCAAGAGGTACCAGTGGTTTTCTTGTTCCGGGTAAAGAGACCGCTGCATTGAAAGCCAGGACATCTTCACACTGTGTTTCTTTATGCTCAGCTGGCCTCTTCTGGGTCTCTTCTGGTTCATCCACATGAATAGTAAAGGCAGGCTGTTTACTGTTTGCTTTCCAAGAAGGACCAACAGCGACATGTTCATCGTTTATAGGAAGGTCCTTAAGAGGCGCGACCTAAAAAGGAATTTAATAGAATTTTGCTTTCTTGCCCCGTGGGTCTCAGCTTTTATTCCCAAAACCTCTATTAGGAAAAATAAACTTCTTGAGGCAAAGCCCAGATAAATAATAGTTTGAGTAATCCAAGATAAAGGGTGGACTGATTTGTCACAGCCATTC